CCCAAAAGCCTCGGCCTTTATCAACAGGTCCCCGTGGCAAAGGGCACCCCCTCCATGCCCCCCATCATCCCAGTTAGAGGGCCCCATGGCCCTGGTCCCCACAGGGGACATCCCGAAAGGTCAACAGGGTCTGGTGACAACTGGCATGGGGAGGAGATGGGAGTGGGTGCAGTGGGACTGTCCCCGTGATGCCATCCTGAGCACGGTGGGGATGCTGAAGGCAGGGGCCATCCCCAGTCCCCACCTGCCTCAGGGACAAACCTCGTGCATCCCAGCTGGGCTGGATGACACTGGTGACATGACATCCCACCGAGAGTAGCCCTACCTGGGCACAGAGGTGGCACCTGTGGCTGAGCCACCCCCCAGCAAAGGGACCCCACCTTGTGTTCAGCTCCTTCTGTAAAGACCAGAAATAAAAAAAGCAATTTACTTTTTTAATATGATTTTGTATTTGGTAGTTTTTGATATAAGGATGGTCCAGCTGCTCTCCAGCTATCTCCTTCTTCTCCGGGATGGGATGGATGAGGTGAGGATGTTCTTACAGGCACAGCAGGATGCTCAGCCAGTCCCTGCTCCTTCTGGGAGCTCTCCAGGGTCCTGGCACCACTGTCCCCATCAGTCCTGGGGGTGGGGGGCCCCGTGTCCCCCAGGCAGTGCAGAGGAATGAGAGCCTCAGTGTGAGTGGGATGCCTGGGTCTGTCCCCTATGTCCCTGTTGGGTGCTGCTGGGGGACAGCCCCATGGTGTGCAGGTGCCCCCAGGAAGGTCTGCTGGCTTCACAGGGACACCAGAGCCATGGGACCAGCCATCGCTGGTGACACAAACCACTTGAGCCACTGCATTCCAGCTTTGCTGCTGATGGGGAGCACCCAGTTTCTGGGGTCGCCATGGGACTTGCACTGGGATTTCTCTACCCTCCCTGTCCCTCGGTGCCCGGGCCACCAGGTCAGACCACTCAGAGGAGGCCTGTGGTGGAGTGTTGGGGCTGTGATGGGGACACCTGAGACAGGCAGGACCCAGGGACACAAACACTTCACTAGGTCTCTGTCCTGGCTATGACCAAAGTGCTGCTCCCAGGTGGGCTCCCTCTCCAGCAGAGCTGTGATGGGACAAGGAGGGATGCTGGGGACTGGGACTCTCTGGTGGGACTGGGATCAGCCATGCGATCATGACAGTGGTGGGGTCAAAACTGTGGTGAGCTTAGGAACCATGGGGTGGGACCAGGGACATCCAAGGGACCAAGACTGAGTGATGGGACCAAGCCATGTGGTGAACTGGGATCAGGGCAAAGTGTTTGGATCAGGACCATGTGCAGGAGTAAAAGGATGTAGTGGGAGCAGCACCATGCACAGGACCAGGACATGGTGGGCACGGGACCTTGCTGAGGACCAGGACCACAACAGTGACATGGGAGGCCCAGCATCGCACCTGGGAACAGGACTGATTGGTGAGTATGGGACCAGAACTTACTGGTGGGTATGGGATCATGCTCAGGACCACCTGCAGGACCAGTCTGAGTGGTGGCACTGGGACTGTGGGATGGAACGGGGACTGGAAGATGAGCACAAGCTCTTGTGGTGGGACTGGGAAGGTGTAAGGGGTAGGACCAGCCCCAGGTGTGGGGCTGCTGATGGCTGCAGAGTCCAAGCAAAGCCCCCAACCCCATCAGTGCCAGCTGGGGCCCATTGACACCCAGCCCCAAGCCCTTAAAGACCCCCAGCTGTTGTGGGGATGCTGCTTACAGGGGATGGAGCTGTGCTTGTTGGTGCTGCTGTGTGGGGCTGTGCTGGGGGTGGCAGGTGAGTGGGGCTGGGATCCCCCTTCAGTTCTCCCACTGGTTGTACTGGGGGAGGTGGAGGTGGGTGCCTTTGCCCTTTGCTTTACCCACTGCTGGTTCCTGAAGGTCACCTGGGAGCTGTCCTGGTGGAGAGAAGCCTTCCTAAAATGTTCCCAAGCTCTGAGGGTTGGGGCAAGGGGCTGCCAGGAGCTCCCCCAAGGTCCCAGCAGGGCTGGTGGGACCTGTTTGGGGCAGGGGGATCAGAGGCACTGATGACACCGGGGGGTCTGTGGCTGCTGACAGTGGTGTCCCACCCCATGAGCAGCTCCTGGTCTGTCCCCAGCCCTGGGCAGGGTCAGGGTGCTGGGAAGGCTCCTGGTGTATTCCTGTAGTGCTGGGGACAGAAGAGCCCATGATGTGCTCCTGAGTGCTCTCCTTGCCTTTGTGCTGCTGCCACCTGTCCCCAACAAGTCCTGGGGACACCTGAGGATGTGGATGTCCTTGCTGTGTTTGGGACATGCTCAGCCCTCCCCTTGCAGGGACCCCTATGGCTCCAGTTGCCTCAGAGCCCCCTGGTCACACGGTGACAGCTCCAGCAATGTCCTCAGGAGTGGGGACAGGGAAGGTTCCTGCTCACCCCCACTCTGAGGACCCCATCATGAACTTCACCCTGAGGCTCCTGGATGGTGAGTGCTCTGGGGGTGCTGCAGGAAAAAGCTGAGGGTTGAGACCATGGGGTGGGTCCAGCTAAGACCCTTGGGCTCAGCCAGCAGCAGTCAGTGCCTTCTCCTGGCTGGCATTAGGACCACCAGGAGAGGTGGCTGTCCCTGCAGGAACCCCCCCTTGTGGAGGGTGCTGGGCTCTGAGATGTTCCCAGTCCTGTGCTTGATACCACAGTGGGGTTTGGGGGTCAGCTCTGCCCCTGATGGGTGACATGGTCCCTCAGCTCCATGGGCAGCCCAGGAAGGTGCTGCTCTGGAGAGCAGGGAAGGCAGGCCAGGGGGGCAGAGCCAGGACAGGGGATGGGCTCTGGAAAGGGAAAGCTGGTGGGGATGAGGGCCAAGATACTGGTGGTCTGGGATGTGTCTGGTGCCCCCAGCTCTGGTGGGATAGGTTTGGGGGTGTCACACTAAACATACGCACTTCTCAGAGGACTCCAGTGCCACTCCAGAGAAGCTGCCAGTGCTCACCCCCGGCTCTGTGATCCACCTGGAAGCCAGTGTCCGCTTCAGTCCCAGCATCTCCATGAAGATCCATGTGGATCAGTGCTACAGGACCACCACGGAGCAGCCAGGACACTCCAGGAGGGTCTCCATGGTGGTGAACAGCCATGGGTCAGTGCTGGTGGGATGGGAAGTAGGGGCTCCTTCTCCAGCTACCTTGGGGTCCTGTAGGACCTCCTGCTGGAAAGGGATGTCCAGAGTCTGGAGACAGCTCTGGAATGTCCTTTGTCACTCTCCTACCATAGATGCCTGCATGGGGAGAAGCTGGGGAATGTGTCTGTCCAGCACCAGAGAGGGGAATCTGTCCTCCAGCTCTCCATCCTGGCCCCCACACTGGAGGGTGAGGCTGAGGAAGAGCAGGTGAGGCGGGGATGGTGTCCTTGGTGGTGGAATGGAGGTCCCAGGGAGGGGGATGACCTGGGTGTCCCAAACCACTGTCCATCCTGAGACAGGCTGGGGTGGCCTCAGCCCCACAGGGTTGTGTGGAAGGAGAGCAGGGTCCCTGAAGAAGGACGTGGTGTCTCAGCAGGTCTACGTGCACTGCCTGTTGATGGCATGGGGACAAGGACATGCCACCAGGTCCTGCTTCTACAGCCACACCACAGCCAGGTATGCTGGGTGCCTGGGGACATGAGCACCCCATAGGTGTGCTGGGGGCGGAACCCACCTCTGGGAAGACCAAGTCACCCCACTGTGGTCTGGATGTCACCTCTTATTCAATGGCAGCTGGTGGCATCACCACAGGTTCCAGCTCCCTCATGCTGCAGATGTGTTGGGGAGGTGTTTGGAGACATCTCTGGGGAGGCACCATGTGGGTCTTGTGGTGGAGTCTGAGGACCCCCAGAGCTTCCTCCCCTCAGTTGTGCCCTCTCCTCTCCCAGCTGGCGTAACGCAGAAGACCCTGTCCAGAGCAGCCCGTGCCACTGCTGTGACACCGGCTGTCCTGCTGCTGACACCCTCCGTGGAGACATGCCAGGTACCAGGGGTGGGACAGGGTTGGGCCCATGTTGTTCTGGGGTCTTGGGAGGCTCCTGGACCTGGACTGGACCACATTGGACATATCCTCCCATAGCATTCCCAGGAGAGGGGACATTCCATTGGGAGACAGTTGGGCCAGTGCTGGTGAAGAAGAAGGTGCCATGGTACAAAGGTGAGGGACACCCCAACCCTCTCCCATGTCCCCAAAACCCTCACCCCTTGTGCTGAACCCCCCTCTGACCCCCAGGTGTGTTTTTTGCCATTCCCAGCAGTGTGCCAGACGTTGAAGAGGTTCCTGCTGGCTGGGCTGGCCCTGGTGGGCAGTGCTGTGCTGCTGGTCACTGTGCTGGGACTGGCTCTGACCACCCGGCGCCTGGGCAGAGCCCGGCAGAGACAGCGGCCACCGAGGCAGAGGTGTCCCTTCCAGGCTGAGCTTCAGAGTGTGGTGGGGGCCCTGGTCCTCAGGGAGATGGAGAAACAGGGCGAGATGGGTCCAGAGCCTCTTTCTCAGCAATAAATGTAGCTTTGCTTTCTCTAAAGTGTCTTCTGGTTGGTAGTGTGTGGATGCCACCAAGGGATGGAGATGTGCCCCTACACTGGCAAGCCACATCTCCAGGTCTCTCCAGGTCTCTCCAGGTCTCTCCAGGTCTCTCCAGGTCTCTCCAGGTCTCTCCAGGTCTCTCCAGGTCTCTCCAGGTCTCTCCAGGTCTCTCCAGGTACCTGGAGATGTGGCTTCCAGGTGTTGTGACACTGTCCCAGCCTGTGACTCCTGGGTGGGTGGATTTTGTGTCCTTGGAGACCATGGACATGGTGGCAGGTCCTTGGGGACAGTCCCCAGGATGTCCCATGAGGCTGTAGAGATGGAGATGTTCCATGGTAGGGACAGCAGGGCTGCTCAGGGCAGGCAGAGACCTCCTCTCCCAGCTGGAGTCCCCTGAGCTTTTGGGACCCACCCAGACCCATGTGTCCCCCAGGAGAAGACATCACCTGGCCATGGTGGCACCCCAGCATCACCCATTGGGGTCATGTTTGAAATGGTTTATTAGGACCAGTGTGGGGCAGGGTGGCCACTCTGGGGGTCACCAGAGTGAGGGGTCACAGTAGGTGGGTCAGAGCAGCATGCCTCAGTTTCCCCAGAGCGCGTGGGGCGGTGCTCAGTGGGATGTCGGGGGCTCTCCTGGTGTCCTGTAAAGCTTGCGGAGGCTGGAATCCATCAGGAAATCCACAGTCCTGCGGCAGGAGAGAGTGTCAGGGGGTCCCGGGGGTGTGTCTCTGGGGCAGTGGATGTGATGTGGGATGGGTGGGGCTGTCCTTAATATCCCCTGAGACACCAACACCACCAAAACCAGGTTTAGCACAGCCTCACTGCGCTAATCCCGGCTCAGCTCCGGATAATCCCCATCCTGGCAGGGACATGTCCTGGCTGGACCCCAGCAAAGCCCCTTTGGAGCAGAGACATCCCATCACCACCCCCTGCTCCCAGCTCCAAGCCCAGATTGGGCCTTGTCTCCAAGGAGACAAATGTGCTCCATCCCTCTGGGCTGTGGGAATGAGGTGCTGGCACCCGTCTGTCCCCCTGCCCCAGGGGTGTCCTGTTACCTGTCAATGGGGGTGATGATGAGGGGGATGGCAGCCAGCCCCAGGGCAGTGGTGGTCCAGCGGCGCACGGGCAGGGGCCAGCGGGTGAGGGACCCCAGCAGGGCCAGTGAGGCAGCACAGAGCCGGTTGATGGTGAAGCCGGGGATGGCCACCGAGGCCAGGCTCTGCCACACGAAGGTGTCCACCACGGCCACCCCCACACGTGTGGGGTCCTGCCCGTGGGCCTGGGGGGATACAGGGGTCAGTAGAAGGGTGGGGATGG